GCGTCGCCAGGGTGCCACTGTCGAAGGACAGGAGTTCCAGGGCGGCTAAGGAGGGGTTCACGGCTCAGGTCCAAAAGGGAGCAGACAATAACCCCGCGTCATGCAGTGGACGCATCGTGCTCGCAAGGTTCGCGTCGTCACGGCCTCTGCGATACCTCTGGACCTCCAATCGTTTTTTGCATTTGTTTGGCTCCAAGAATTTCCACGAGTCTCTTCTTCGCCCGGGTTTATATGTTTTATTTATTTGTTTATTTACATGCGCATACCTACAACTGCTGGTGATTCTTTGATAATCGTTCATCATGACGGATTGAATAACCAGCGAAGTGTAAAGGACACAGAGAGAAGATGAAAAGTTTTTATCAATTCCATCACGATGCCAAAAGCATGGCTCACGCCGAAGAAGTCATCTTCTTTTATTTCTGATCTTTTTGATCCTTCCTATTTCCCATTTTAGCTATATTTTATCTTTGTTTATACCTCGTTCGTTCAAGCAGTATCCTTACAAGAAGTTGAGGGTTGTCTATTTGATCTTTCATAACATTTTGGTAATATAATATTAATATTTAATGATAACATTTAGTAAACATCAATGATAACTCAATTACTTAATAATAAAGTAATTCACATTGCAGCTTCGGGCCCATAAATTATCATCCAAGAGTTTAACATTTTAATGTTATCTGTACAATTACAATGGCTCTTTTTCAATAATGACGTCATCGCAAAGTTTCAAATCGCCATTCACGAAGAAAGGACATTGAATTCGTCGGTGGGAAATGGCTTCCTACTCATAATGGCGGCATCTGACGAGCCAAGGCGTCCTCGAACTGGTAGAGTACACTTGCTCCCCAGTCAGGATTGAACGGTCCAGGCTAAACAAAATGTCTACAAAGTAAGTAAATAATCTGAAATAAACTAGTAAAGCGATGGCGCTTGAAGTTGGGAATTGTGGAGGGCACGTACTGGTGGTGGGTATAGCTGGTCACGGTCAATGAATGAATCCGGGACCTCTTTGGGTCTAGGCCCACAAGGGAAAGTAGTGCTAGAAGCGAGTGTGAATTTTGGCTAATAGTCTCTTCATGTTTTACCGGTAGTAGCTTTTTAATCTACCCAAATTAATCCATCTAATCTACCGAAATTGGTACTTCCCAGGTCAACCTATCCATACCGACCCGAGGAGTCTGAGAGTGCTAGTCGAGGGATCTGATAGTACGAAAATACGATTATGCCAGCTAAGTTGGCTAGTCACTACAGGCGTCACATAACCCTTAACAAGGTCTGTAAGATCCTATGAAGGAGTCATCAATCCGATGAATTACCCGCGTATTCCTACAGCCGCTTCAATCTTTTTCCATAGGTGAAAGTGAGAAGTTTTGTTTTGTAAAAGATATATAAACTCACTGGGGTAACATCCGGAAACATTGGATTGATTATTGGATGATATGTGACGGGATGGACGGGATAGAGATACTGAAAAAGATTTGTGTGAAAGAATGAACTTCCGTTTTTGTGTGGCTGAAGGAAGCATCATTTTCAAACCTGAGCTTGAACCCAAGAGGTTAATAGGAATAGGAGAAAAACAGATGTAGCCGTGACCATGCTCAGTAGCAGGTTATTAGTGAACTTTTCTGAATATTGAAGTTTGGATGGATATTGTTGGAATCAGCCGATCCTTTTCATTGAGTAGAGAAAAGCAAGATAAACAGACGTAAACAAAAACTCATGTGTCTGATTACTCATTTACTATTTTTATTTCCCGTTACTGACAGAACTGCGATTCCTTATAAGAACGTCATCACAAGTTTGTTTAATCATAGATAGAACATTCGAATTCGAGGAGAGCTCGAACCTGAGCCAATGCTTTTTTGACTTTGGGCTTATCCACTGAGCCAATGAGACTCACTGTCTTTTTTTCGGCTTTTTGATATAATATTCCGAGTTATTCTCAGTGCTCATGCTTAATTTTGATGGACTATGTCAAACCTGTACAATGACTCAGCTCCCTTCTTAGTACAAACAAATTTTACGATTGATGAAGTATAAATAGTGTAAATAGCCATATAGCGGGTTCCAAAATTTTTAGATATGATTAATTGTTCCCCATTTCAAAACCGTTCGATCACTTCCTTGAGGAAGAGACACTTCCTTGAAGACGAGATATTGCCCAAGGCTGAATATTATAACCGGTCGAAATAGACCGGATTCAAGGATTGCAATGAATAACCATGAAGTCCCAGAAAGGCACATAAGGAAAGGTCGACGTTCGTCGTTGTCCCATTCATCTTCGATAGTAGCAGGAAGTGTTAAGGATGTGGAACACGTGCTAGCTGATTCGAACTGCGAAAGTGAAAAATCGCTTTGCAGCTTAGCCCGATGATGGCGAAATTCTTGAAAAAAGAACTCGTTCTGATTGAACGCTTGACGAAATGTACATCCTGGACACCTTGAAATGTTGCCTTTCCAGGATCCGGTCCCCTAATCAATGGGAGAGAAGGTGATGCAGGTGGGGAAACTCCTGTTTATTAGGAATGAGCAGAAGGATCAGTCAAATTAATTTGTTCAGCACTATAGTATATCGCTGATCGCTTTTACGACCAAGCAACACCGCTAGCGCAGATCATCCACGAAGTAACTGGATGTTTGATCAAATGTATAAAAAGGTTCCTACCACGTACGAGAACTCCTTCCTACAGTAACCCAACAGATGAGATAAAAGGAACATCAAACAATCAGAGAATCTGTCAATGAATATCACATTTTGTAGCACCGAAAGAATGTATTGGGTTATTTGGTTGGGTAAAAGGTCATCAACTTCTGGGCCATGCTCCATTCCAGCATTCACTTTTTTTGGACACATCAGGAAAAGATTCTCAACGAACAGATTCCGGACAGGATTAGCAGCTTTCGTTACTGTAGCACCACATCCGAAGACTCCGAGGCCTCACCGATCAGACGGGAGCTTATACTTCTAGACCCTGACTCAGGGAGGCTGAAACAATTCCTGCTTCCCCCACTACGACGTTTGTTAATCTACGACTTCTCGGAGGGTGTTTCAATAGTGGAAGGGACCTCGGATAAAATTTTTCTAATTGATCCCAAATGTCTGCAAGGTAAAGGACTTTACGATGAGGAGAAATCGTTTGTATCGACTTCTATGGTAAGGACAAAAGTCAATGTGATAATCAGCAGGGAACGACCAGAAACAATAGTGAACTTCGGGCGAGAAGCTGTTCCCGCTTTGCCCTGTTTTTATTTGGGCGCACGCCTTCTCCGGGCCCACCCCTTATCTCTATCCTAAATAGATAAATGAGCTGCTCGGGAGAGTACTTTTTTCCAAATTTTATGAAGTTATAAGTAACAAGAACGAGTTGAATACATTTTATGAAGACAAGAAATTATTCATCAACGAGTTCAAGTGACAGGCAGAGATCTGAAGGCAGGATAGAAAGGTGAATAAACAAAAAAAAATGGACATTGACGGTTACGGTGATTATTTACAAAAATAAGAACAACAACAAAACAGTAATGAACAAAGAACAATGTTTGAGGTTCACGTTTTCCATGATGGCTGTATATCACTGAGGTCAACTGGAGGAGCTGTTGGAGCATTGGAAGCGGCACTTTGTTGAAGAACAGCATGATGCGTGGGTGGAGCAGGTCCTGTAGGGGGATACGGTGGGACAGCAGCAGGAGGATAACCTGGATTTTGTTGTTGAAAGTGATAAGCTTGTGGCGGATATGGTTGTGAGGGATACGGCTGCGGTGGAAGTTGTACTCCATAAGGTGGAGGATAGCCATACTGTTGTGGCATCGGAGGTGGATATCCCATTTGGTAGGGTTGAGCTGCTTGAGCAGAAGGATGGACCTGAATAAAAGCAATTGAGGAAAATATGATGATAACAGCTACAGAAACCAGGATCTCGTTTTAATATTGTTTCCCTAATTCTAGCAGGTAGTTCAGTGATAAAGGGCGGAACACTCTGCGGCAAGCCCCGGTCGCATGGACAATGAGAGACACAGCAGAAGTTTCAAAACCTTCTCATACTAGTGGGACACTTAGCTGGACTGCCATCACCTCAGGTCAGTCTGGCTCAAGTGTACCGCCCCATTTCTAAGCACTATCTAGGCTCAAGGTAGACCTGACAAGTTCTGTGCACTCAAATGAGCTACAAGGCCCTGGATGTTTGCCATAGCACATTCATAGCTCTGAGCTGAGAACCCCGCGACATCGTTACCAGAACACTCAAAAATAAGGTAAACTGGGTAGCTAAACTATGAGTAGGTGTAGCTGTGATCATCTCAGCGTCTCTCAGTGAAGATCCTGCCTGTTTCCCTACATTTCTAAACGTCTCGGATGAACTGCAACCTCTGAAAAGCAAAGTCACTTACATGAGGTAATGGTGGGTATTGAGGAGCAGGTGGTTGCCCATGATATTGAGGAGCAGGTGGTTGACCAGGATATTGAGGAGCGGGTGGCTGAACTGGTTGCATCGGAACTGCACCTCCACGGTCGGCAAGATATGACATATCCGACGGGAACAGAGGTTGATATTCTGAAAGGATTCAGAATTCAGATTCAAAAACGACCACACTGTGCGATTCAGTAAAAGATTCTCAAAGAAAGCTATCTTCCAGGAAGGAAAACTGGATGAATAAACAATAGGCAAGTAGAAAAATCAAAGTCATAGCCATGGTAGATAAATAAACTTAAGTCGAATGACGGTGGGTAGTAACAAAGGCTATGTAATCAATTAACAGTAACTTCTCATCTCCTGAGACTATCCTACCAGATTACCTTGTAGGTAAGCTATTATATACCCTAAAATTACTAATTACCTGTATAAGGTTATCCACCAGAAAATAACAGCTAGGCAGCCTGGGCCCAAGTAAGGTGAACCGTGAAGTGAAGGAAGAAATGGGGGGAGAGAAATAACAATTTGGAGGTCAATTTGATCCCCCGTACCCTCCTGGGAGGAAGCGGCACAGCCGAACATTGCCTTTCTTGAGTAAATGAGCTAACAAAATGGTTAGGACACACTCCAAACAAAAACAGTTAATGCTTTTCGCTGGCCATCTCAAAAATATAAGCTCGACCAGAAAATGAACACCTAAGAGAAAAAGAGAAGGGAAAAAGAGGAGAGGATGTTTCCACTGACCTGCTTCAGGATCTTTTGGAAATGGATCATCAGCTGGTCGCGGAACGATATTTCGCATTTTCATATAGGAGGTAAGTTGTAGAGGAACTTCAGCCAACACCTCCTTTGCCAACAGTCCCATTACCCTTTCACTTTCAGCTCCCGTACATCCTTCCCGTAGGAAATTTCGTAGCGGAACAAACTAAACACACTTGCAATACTTTCGAACAAAATCGGTGGTAATCGATAAAATCAATCGATAATGATTTTACCTGTACAATATCTCTATGAGCTGTTCGTCCAGCATGTGTCAGTAGATGTGAGTCAGAATCCAATTCGTTCATGTTTTCGAATTCATCATTACCGACACCCACAATGATGATCGACAACGGTAGCGATGAAGCCTGAACATTGGAATTTAGCCAGAAACGCCCTTTCTACAAGGGGCAGCTTTCCGGCAAGATTGTTACATCCTCTGAATGTACCCAGTCAGCCGTGTCCACGTGGACTACGGCTTACATCCTGAGAGTTCAAGAGCGACGGTAACAAAAGCCTTTAAACCTAAGGTATCAATGTCCTGCCAATACCATGCGGATGCCCATTTCATGGCTCACTTACCGCTATAATAGCAGTTTTTGTAGCGGCCAAATCAGAAATCGCTCCATCGGTGATGATTAGAAGCACCTGAAATAGGGTTTATACTTTCATGCGCCCATCCATTCCTATCTCTGGCTCTCACCTGATAACGTGACCCATCAGTTTTCGACGATATCCTCGAGGCTTTCTTCGCGACCTCCTGAATAACTGGCTTGAAATTCGTTGGCCCGTAGAGAGTAACTCGATTCAGTGCGTATCGATATGCTTCCATTACGCCTCGTACCCCAACCACAGACGGATTTGCATCGAAATTCTGAAA